TGTGCCGTGGCTGCCACAGCGCTGCCCGGGCATTTGGACACCCGTGCCACTAGGATTGGCCTCGGGGGTCTGCGGGGAGCCCTGGGGGCAGGCTGGGTCCCTGCTGGGGACTGAAGTGCAATAACACCCCTGCGCCGCACACAGCCCAGCGCTGCCCTGGGCAGCAGGGCTGGGCCCCCATGATGCCCCCAGGATTCACGCCCTAGGTGCAGGACCCCCCTTCCCCAAGGGCTCACTCCTCTGTGGGCTCTTGCAATGGGGTGTGCAATGAGCCTGGCCCCCTGGGAGAACCAGGAGCCCCCCGCAGCCCCCCAGGCCGGGGTTGGGCTAGGGGCAGAGGGGTCAGTGTGTGTATGTGTGCTTTGGGGGACCCTGTGGGGCTGGTGGGTGTCCCCACGCTTCCCCCACAAGCGTGGGGAGTGCAGCCAGTCCCTGATGTGGGGAGAGGGATAGGGGATACCAAGGGATACCAGGAGACATGCGATGCCCATGGCACAGTGCTCGGGGAGGATTGCCAGAGCTGGGGTTGCCCCTGCCTGCTCAATGCCAAGGGCTGGGTGCTGAGCTGGCACTGTGCCCCACGTTTCCTTGGGACACGGGGTTGGGAATGGGGTGCTGGCAGAGGGGCCGGGGTGCCATGCTGGCAGCCGGGGAAGGGGGCCGGTGGGCAGCACGGCCAGGCTGCCTGGCCCCTGGCAAGGGTGGGAGCCGGCTTTCCTCCCTCCTGCACAATGCACTGGTGGACGCAGAACTCCTGTTTTTTTTAATTATTATTAATAATGATAATTGCTAGTAATATATACCCAGCTTATTTAAAGTGTTCAATAAAAACTGAATGTCGCAGCTACTCAGGCTGCTACTTTTGTCGCAGCACGGCCAGGCTGCCTGGCCCCTGGCAAGGGTGGGAGCCGGCTTTCCTCCCTCCTGCACAATGCACTGGTGAACGCAGAACTCCTGTTTTTTTTAATTATTATTAATAATGATAATTGCTAGTAATATATACCCAGCTTATTTAAAGTGTTCAATAAAAACTGAATGTCGCAGCTACTCAGGCTGCTACTTTTGTCTCTCGGATGCACGTTGGACGCAGAGGGGAGCCCTGCCCAAAAAGGTTGCACAGGCTTGCCTGGGGCTTTTGGGAAACCCTTGGGGAACCGCAAGCCAGCCTGGCTCAGCCCAAGATCTCGATAGCCCCACATCAGCCATCTCGGTTGAAATGGCTTTGGTCAAATTGCCAATTATTTTTTAGGTTGAGTTCGTGCCCTTGAGTCTGTGTTCGGGGCAGTACACAAGAAAGCAACAAGCAGGCAAGCTGTGTCTCTTTATTGCTACAAAGTGGGTTCAGCCAGCGGACAAGACAGAGGAGTGACACATGCCACCTCCAAAAAGCCTGCTTTTTAACACCCTTTTGCTCTTCAAACAAGCTAATTCACATAGCAATTAATCAACTATATATGGCACACATGAGCCCGTAATAAAATGAGAGCGTCTTCAGCTGGTTGAACACGACTTCCTCTGCTCTTGCCCAGCTGTGATGTTACATCAGGGCTATTTTGCTTAATCTTTGCTTGTGCATGTGTGTAGTAACTAATTATAAAGTCCTGACGACTTGTCTGACGAAGCATCAGTCCGCTGCCAGTACCAGAGTTGCTTTTGCTTTTGGAAGGCACCATCACATCGTACAATCCTAGCGGTCATTGCTCTGCTTCCTAATTAGCAAAAAAAAATACCCCAACCGGCCGCCCAGGCGCCAGCAGGTTCAAGTGCAGTTTCCTTCCTTGGGCGTGCTTGCTGCTCCTGGGATGGGGCCAGCCAAAAAATGGCGAGGGGACCTGGCTGGGGGTGGGGCTGTGCCATCCCCCACTTCTGTGTCATCCCATGCCAGCACCACAGCTCACTCTGTGCTGGGGATGTTGCGTGGCTGCAGCGTAGGGGCTTGCTCTGCACTGTGTTCGGGTCCGGGCTCCCCATCACACAGCAGCCCCTCGGGGAGGAGGGGGGAGACCCATCGTACCCTGTGCAGATATGGGGCTGGGCTGTGGGGCCCCTACTGCCCTGATGAAGCACATCAGCTGGTGGGAAACAGCCACCACCACTGGGTCCCCCAGCCTGCATGATGCCCGAGCATCACTGGGCATGGCCAGGAAGGACCAGGGCAGCCCGCGGGCAGGGGTCTGCGAGAGGGAAGGGCGTTGCCCGCAGGGACAGGACATCCTGGGCTGGGGTGCAGCAAGGCTGAAGCGGAGGCGGTTTGGGGCGTAGGTGCTGCAAGGGAAGGCGGAGGGTGAGGTGGTGCCCAGCCTTCCCCACACACAGCGGGGCTGAGAAGGCAGCTTGCAGAGGGGTTTCCCTCGTTCTGCCCCTTTGCTGCCCCACAGCTTGGAGGGTGTCTTGAGCTCCCATGGCAGTGAAGGGATGAAGGCAGGCTCCATCCAGCACCAGGATGCGCCTGCTTCCCTCTCCCTTTCCAAAGGAGGCGGTCAGCATGCCCATGCAGAGGCTCAGGCTCCATGCTCTCCTCCTCGCACACCCCATGGGCCCCACGCACCCCAGGGCTCAGCAGAGCCTGGCGTGGGCACACTCACCGCAGCGGTGCTGGTGCCGGTGGCCATGGTCATCCCACGAAAGGGGAGCTCGGCCCGGCTGCCTTCTCGCAGATCCAGAGGTGAAGGTCATTGGGACCGTCGCACTGGGCGGGTTTGATGTTCCCACGACTTATTATGGCACAGGACCCATTGGATTTTGACTGCCACGGCCTGGATGGGGACACGGCGCATTGGGGGTCTGCCACCACCCCGTCCACCAGCACGTGCCGGGGGGAGGCAGCCGGGGGTGGGTACCCAGCACCCGGCCAGACGGGTCTGTTCCTCCCCACCGCTCTCAGACACCGCAAGAGGAAGTGTTGGCGAGCTGGGGAGGAGGTGCACATGGCAGGGAGGAGCCTGCGACCCTCTGCGGGTGGGAAGGCCTGATTTCCCCTCAAGGAGGGACCAGGCAGGCACGTGGGTGATGGAGGTGATGCTCGAACGCTTCGTCTAGACCCCAAATAAAACTTGCGGTTTCTTTCGTTGCTCGCTGCCTCCTGCTCACACAAGTCCTGCACGTGCCCCCTGCCGTCCGTTTGCACGGCTCCATGTCTGCACTGCCCGTTTGCACGGCATCACAGTGATGCACACACCTCCCCTCTGCCTCGGATGCTTTGGTCCTCTTTGTTGCCCAGTGCTTATGCCCAGGACTGGGTACTGGTGGGATTTGAAATGCTTCCCAAAGCTATGCTGGAGGAAAGGGAGTTTCGGCAAGAGGCCGCGCTGCCAAGTACCTCTCATAAAGGGAGCCATCCACCCAGAACCAGGCATCCGAGACCCCCTCGCCCTCTGGGTCTTCTTCCTCCAGCCAGCCATAGTCATACCAGGGGAAGCTGCTCTTCTGCAGACCAATCCAGTACGAGATGTCCGCGTTCTTCAAGAAGGTCTGGAGAAGGAGAAAAAGGGCCTTTTGGTGGCTTTTCCATGGTACCTGTGTGCTGTGGTGTTTGCAGGGGGGTGGGCTGGAGCTCCCTGGGGCAGGACAGCTGAGCAGCCCCAGTGCCCTGCTCCAGCCTGGGCAGCATCCAGGGGTGCCAGAGCAACTCTGCTCCGTGTCCGCCACCAGCCACGTGCTCCAGAGATCAGCCCTGGCACCCTCCAATGGTTTGGCAGGGCAGGGGCTCCCAAAGCGGTGCTGGCCCAACTGGGGACCCCAGGGCTGGATGCACCAGCTCCTGCCCTCAGTTCCCGCCCTCAGCTCCCCCAGCACCCTACTGGTACAGTCCAGCGACTCCAGGATTTGGTGACCAGGAGCTGAGAATATTTCTTCTCGCATTCGACTCTGCTGTCTTCCCATGTCTTCTTCTCCGATGAGATGAAGAGGCACTTGCCCCTGTACAGCAGCCAGCCCGAGGGGCAGCAATCTGGGGGCAGGGGCACAGTCTTGCTCAGCCACAAATGCCTGGGAGGGGACCGGGAACAGTCCCACATCTTCCCAGGAGACATCCCAGGCTCAGCCTATGCTCCAGGCACAGCTCCAGCCTTCCGACCACCCTATCCCCACCACGTGGCCAAAAAGCCAGCGCTCATGCTGGCACAGCAGAGGGGTGCCAGTCCTCTGGGGCACCCCATCCCTGCTCCACCATCACCCTACCTATAGCTGTGCAGGAGCGCAGCACGGCCACAGTGCTCTCACTGTTGTTGAGCTTCCCCTGCACCTCCTGCATCTCCTTCTCCAGCACCGCCAGCTCCTGCCTGGCACGCCCCAGCTCGGCGTCCCGGCTGCCC